AGTCTAGACAGCAGAGTCTAGACACCAGAGTCTAGACAGCAGAGTCTGGGCACGATGGGCAGAGCGAGACACAACCTGCAATGACAGAAAGGTTCTGAGAAAATGGGAAACAGATGAGTGGTGGGTAGGGAGAGGGGGGAACTACCAGGGAAAGCTCAGTAAGGCTCTTTCTTACTGACGCCAAAGCCTCATCACAGCTTTGCTGTTTATCTGGTTGGAATATTACAACCAACCAGCATCCTTTAGATTCAACAGTTAAACTCTGACACCGAAACTAAGAGTCAGCTGCAGCCTGTTGAGGTCAGTAACAGCATTAAAGCAAAAGATGGAAACGCTTCATGTCCAACGAGTTCACCAAGCAGCTGCTGAGAGTAAAATCCCAACTGACCTCAGATATCGTCCAAACACTGACTCACTTCCGTCATACACAAAATTTCATTTCAATAAAGCTCGCCAGCAGTCTTGCTGCTTATAATCCTTCGCAAAAAAGACTGGAGCTTTACCCCTTTGAAATAAAACTATTGATGTCTGTTCACAACATCATCCCCACATCCAGCAAAATGTGGGGATAAGTGATAGATCATAGTTTATGGTTTAAAGAGCTGCTCAGAGAATGAATATTAGGAAACGCAGCGTAAAGGAAGTCAGAGTGCTGGCCCTGTGGTTCTGGGGGTTTAGCTGGTATGCTATCTTACACCAATTCATCAGTAATAAGTTTTCCAGGCTTCTACTAAAATGGTGCTTTTTGTCCAAGTTCAGAGCAGAAGCCAATCTTCACGGCCCACAATAAAAAGCGCTCAATCGGCTAATTATCCACAAGCTATCTCTTCCTACTCTGGTCACCATAAAGTCCAAATCCTCCTACAAAGCTGTCCTGAAACGGGGCTGTTGGTCTATAAATAGAGCATTGGACATCCACAGTGTGAGGCAGTAATATTCTGCAGCACATTTGCTCTCTACAGTACTTAAAGTCTGAGGGGATTACCATCATGCAGACCAGTAATCCTCCCGCGGTTATGTGCTCCAGCATATCATTTTGGGGTCTAATCTGAGCTGGCCACAGAGGGAGATTAGAGGAACAGAATGGATTAGAGGGCCGTGTGTCTCCAGTGGAATGAAATACATTTCAGGAGCTGTGATGGAGTCTTAGCAGAGCAGCTTTATTCTTATTAGCTGAGTTATTTATTGAGTTACCACATTAGATACTTCGAGGCCCTCAAACCTAATGTGATGGTGCTCATTTACTGTGCTCGGTTAAACTCTAAAAACAAGCTGGAAAATTACGCAAGACTATGCTTGAAAAGTTTAGTTTAGGCAACTAGACATGAAGTTTAAGGTCCAACTTCACGTCAAGTTGCCTAAACTGAACTTGTCAAGCTTGACCATGACCTGGATGACAGAGAAACTTGACAGATATACCGAGATGATCATATCAGCGTGAAGAGTAAGAATCTGGGCCCACCTGGCACAGCTTCATCCACCGGACCCCACCAGTCGGTCAGGATGGAGGATTGAACTCTAATCCTACCCTCCATCCTAACCCCAATGGATGAGGCCCCACCCCAGTCCTGATGAGTCAGACTCCAACCTAACAACACTTCAATAGGTCAGGCTCCATCCTGATTGGTCAGGGCCCATGATAATCATACCCTGACAATTCAGACTCCACCTTGACCTTAACGAACCGCAGCCTAGTTCTACCCTGATGGGTCAGACTCTTCCCTGTCTCTAATCCCGAAGGTTCAGGCTGCACTCTGACTCTTACTTTAACCGTAAGAGCACCTCAGATTGATGTCAGCAGAACAAAGACATGACAGGAAGCAGACAAGACCACTAAGAACAGGAAGTTAGGCCACAATGTTTATTCAGTAGTGTTGTGTTTCAACGTATAGGTACAATACTGTCAGCTTTGTAAGACTAAAAAAAGTGTTACGCCCTCCAGCACATGCTCACCTGGGCAGGAACATGTCCAAATGTAGGCACTTTGAAGGTTTCAAACATTGGTGAATATACATTTATATATATTTATATATCTTTTCATACACTAGTAAGCAAAGAGACTCAAAGATCAGGTGTCTAACAGAGAGGAAACAATAGGATGTGGCCACGACGAGGGGCAGAAACAGTCTTTGGGTTTCAGTTCAGTATGAAAGGGCAGGTTTAACAGCTTTCCTTGTGTTACAGTACAGATGTTACACATCGGGGGCAATACTTACATGTTGTGATGTCCAGCAGCCACTCTACTGATGGCTAGTGAGGGGGGGGGTCTGAGCAAATTACTTTGCCCGTGAGGGGGTAGGATGAAGGGGGGTCCTGATGCCTGTCTTTATTGGAAATTCAGAAAAAGCAGGAACAGAGTTAGTGTGGGGATCAAAGGCATCATTTTACCCCGGAGATAATGAACAGGGAGGTGCACTGATTGATTCTATCCCTCCGTCCACAGCTTTCCCTCCTCCAGCCGCCATGGAAACAGGAAACTTGCACCCCCACCGGCGCCGTCCATGGAGCCGTTCACTGTGGGACCGCTCCTGCGCCGGTCAGGACGCGGTCAGGGCTTCATGCATAAAACTCCTTGGTTGGGGCCTTCTGATAGGCTGAGCTGGAGGGTTTCCTCTCTCCCAGGTCGTAACTGCCCTCGTCTTTCTTCCTCATGCGGTACACCAGCAGCAGGATGAGGAAGATGGCAAACAGGAATCCAATCACACCGCCCGCAACCACCGCTGAGAGAGGAACACACTGATCACAACCAGAACCAACCAGAACCAACCAGAACCAACCAGAACCAACCAGAACCAAACCTGACCTCCACCCAGACCCAACCAGAACCAAACCTGACCACCACCCAGACCCAACCAGAACCAAACCTGACCTCCACCCAGAACCAACCAGAACCAACCAGAACCAACCCTGACCTCCACCCAGACCCAACCAGAACCAGCAGCCTCTATTTCAGCCGACCCGGACTTCCTGGAGGTCTGTAGAAACCCAGAGGCATCATAAAGCTGAGCCAGTCGGCAGGTGGGATGTGCGATGGGGTTTTGGTTTGGACCACGTGATGTCACAGTAAGGAAAGGAAGCGGCACTGAAATATTCTGACGTGGGATGAGAACTCAGAGACACCCACCTGCCAGCACCTCGGTCCTCTGGAAGAGGTTTTCGGTGCGCACCTCGATGGGCTCCTGAGGAGATCCGGGGGAGCCGGTTGTGAACGTCATCTGGTTCCTCTCCTGATTCTCTGTGACTGGAACTGGTGCCTGGAGGAGAAAAGGTTGTTCAGCATGCAGGCAGAAAACAGATATTCTGTTAGAAGCTGAGGAATGGGGGTTGGGTCAGTCCCGTGAGGGCGTCGGTCATCGTCTGATCTGGACTGTTCTAACCCTGCTAGAACCGGCCGCCCACCGCGATTCTTCTTCTTACTGTAACTTAGCAGAGGTTTGCACTCTCAGTGTCGCTCAGGATCTCTGCAGTACGGCTGGTGAAGGTCCATTTGCGCTCACTTTAAAAAAAACTAGCCCTAAAAATCCAAAAACCTAATGCTTTTAAGGTATGTCTCGAACAACATGTTGAGCTCACTTAACTCACATTGAACATCTTCAAATTGATGGAACAAAATGCTTGGGTTTAAAATAGTTAAAGAAGTCTCAGTGTCAGCGGTGTCTTCCGTCTGGCCTTTGGAAGTTTTACTGAAGGGAGTAAGGAAGCAAACTGAGCCTAGTCCTGCTATCTGGGTTTCTCCCGATCTTACCTCGGTTCTGAAAGGCTTCCTGGGCGAGCCTTCCCTGGTCTTTCCTCTGACCGTGGGGGCATCCACCCGGGGGGTTAAGGCCTTGGTGGAGTCCTGGGTGGGCTGAGGAGGCTCCTCATAAACTGCAGTGACGGTCACCACTTCCTCCACAGCCTCCCCGCCTCCACCTGGACAGGAGCAGAGCTGCTGATGGACCCACGGCCCTTATTCCATTCAGTTCCAGTTTAGAGGGCTGTTACATTTGATTTCCAATGCAGATTCAAACACTACGGTTTAAGTTTAAATTAGACCTGGTTACAAGAGGTTTCACAACAAATGTGATAAGTCAATCTCTTGCGGTCACCACTGACTCTGATCAGGGTTTCTCCTCTGGATAGCTTATTGTCATAGTGATGAGAAATGGGATATTGGCTCTACTCTGTAAGTCGCTTTGGAGAAAAGCGTCTGCCAAACGCATAAACATAAACATAAAGTACACTTTAGGTCAGAGATAGGTTCTGATGTTCTCATGAATGCATCTTGAATATGTAGTCTCCCCATAGCAGGAACACCTAAGTGACCACCTGAGTGACCATCTGAGTTATAATCTGTGGGACCATCTGAGTTATAATCTGTGGGACCTTCTGAGTTATAATCTGTGGGACCATCTGAGTTATAATCTGTGGGACCATCTGAGTTATAATCTGTGGGACCATCTGAGTGCTTAATTATTGTTAAGACAATTGGGCTTGCTGCTGAAACGCTATTCATATTTATTCTTATTCTATTCCTTTTCATGCTCTTTAAATGGGTGCATCTGTAATGCAAGAATTCCTCCCTGGGGATCAACAACGTGTTCTGGTTCTGATTTTCTGAAAAACAGACTGGTCGTAGTGAGTTACCTGAACCGGAGCCGGAGCTAAAGTCATCGTCGTCCTCGGGGTAGTACCCTCCTGATCCAGGGTCCTCCAGGTACAAGTCATCGGCCTGAGAGGAGGGCTTGGCTGCTTGTGCCATCTGCAAACACACCGGATTACATCCTCAGTTAGCAGACCATCCTCACCGTGGTTCAGCAGGAGGAGAGCTTTACAGATGGGGCTGGGAGGTCCAGGACCCGATAGAGGGATCTGGAGGAAGGGATGGCTGGTGAATAATGGGTGAAGGACGATGGATGATAGGTGGGTAGTAGAATAGAAGAATGAAAAAGTTATACTGAAAGAAATGAACATTGTGTAAAGAAATTGGAGTCTGAGATTGTTCCACTTCAATAAACTAACCAGTTTTTTCCTTTCTTAGGCCAGCTTCAGTATCTTTTACACTTGTAAGATAACTATGCCTAGCACTTTTTCTAACAATAAATAAATAGATGGATGATTGGTGGATAGATGGTGATGGATAAGAGC